GATTGCTCAGGGGCTTGTTACTCCTGCTGCTAAAGCAGCCCTGAGCTGTTATGTACATCTTCGGGGCATCAACCATTGTGACCGGTTAAGTTCGTGCCTGAAAGTCCTGCTTCAACAAGAAGAGCCTGCCACCCATCAATGCTGCATGAGTTCCGGTTGTGAGACATCTCACCGATCTCTAAAGAACATTACCGCAAGGCTGGACAAGGGGGGTTGTGGCTGGGAGGGCCTGGGCATTGGCGGCCTCTGAGGAGGTAGCGCTACAACTGTAAACTATGTGAATTACTAGAGGAAAAAGTAAGGGACTTAGAGGCAACTCTAGCCAAACTCCAATCTATGCAAGAAAACTATACCCAAATTGAACAAAATAATGAACAAATAACTCCTTGAGGATTTGACCCCACTGATAAACCCTTGGAGGAAGACAAATGGAGGTATGTCATATATAGAAGGAAACACAACAATCAAAGGAAGAAGCAGCATACATCTAACAAATCTCTACTGCCCAATCTAACTCAACTAGAAGCAACCCCATTAAAACTGAGCAATCGATTTTTCCCCCTAGATGGAAATACGCAGACCTAACCCTCTCCCTCAAAGAAAACATGCGGACACCTAGCAAAGAAACAACACCAAATATCCCTTAAAAAGTCACATCAACAAACACACCTGAGATAAACAGAAAAGCACCCTAGATTGCACCCCCCCCAAAAAAGGAAGGTGAGTGTTGGTAATAGGAGATTCTATCCTCAAAGGAACAGAATCAGCCATCTGCAGACAGGACATACAATATAGAGAGATATGATGAAAGAAGCATGGGAAACTATGAAAAACATGATCATAAAAGCCCAGTCCAGCATACCACTGAAAAAGAAAAACAAGAAATTCAAGAAAAAACCAATATGGCTGCATGTTTGTCAACATGGCTGTCTGACAAACTGAAAGAGAAAAAGGACAAGTACAAAAAATGGAAGAGGGACACATAACTAAAGCTGATTATCAGCAGACAGCCAGAACATGCAAAGACGAAGCCAGGAAAGCAAAGGCTCAGACTTGCAACAGAAATCAAGGACAATTAAAAAAAGTTTCTTTCAACATATTAATAACAATAAAAAAGTCAAGTAAACTGTAGGTTCACTAAAAAGAGAAGATGGTAATGAAAGAGAACACCTATCCAACATTGATGAATATAATCACTGGGACTCGATAGATTACATCCCAGAGTTCTGAAGGAGCTGGGAGATGTTATCTCAGAACCACTGCATCATATCTTTCAAAACTCCTGTAGCACCAGGGAAGTACCTAAGGAATGGAAAAGGGCTGATGTGATTCCCATCTTCAAGAAAGAAAAAAATAAAAAATAAAACAGACCCAGGAAACTACAGACCAATCAGCCTAACATCAATACCTGGAAAGATGCTGGAAAAGATAATCAAAAAACAGATCTGTGAACAACTAGAAGCAAAGTTATAACTAATAGTCAGCACGGGTTTGTTAAAAACAGATCATGCCAAACCAATCTCATTTCATTCTTTGATAAAGTGACTAAATTAGTAGACCAGCGAAATGCCATTGATGTGGTATACTTAGATTTCAGTAAGGCATTTGACAAAGTAGACCACAACCTACTTCTTGGTAAGCTAGAAAGAGGCAGAATAAATAACATCACCACCAGATGGATTTGTAGCTGGCTGACGAACCGTACTCAATGAGTAGTCCTCAATGGTACTAAAACCACATGGAGAGAAGTAAGCAGTGGGGTACCACAAGGCTCTGTCTTAGGCCCAGTACTGTTCAATATCTTCATAAATGACTTAGATGAGGGAATAGAAGGGAACTCATCAAATTTGCAGATGACACTAAACTGGCAGGAATAGCCAACACCCCAGAAGACAAGCTCAGGATCCAAAAAGATCTTGACAAACTTGAACAATGGGCCCTATCCAACAAAATGAACTTTAATGTGGAGAAAAGCAAGATTTACATTTAAGCAGGAAAAATCAAACATTAGGCGAGACCAAAAAAGCTAATACAATCCTGAGCTGTATAAACAGAGGCATAGAATCAAGATCACGCAAAGTATTAGTAACACTTTATAAAACCCTAGTAAGACCACACCTGGAATACTGCAACCAATTTTGGTCACCATACTACAAGTCATTGTTTGGATCAGTTTCAGCCGTTGGGATTCATTGTTTCTCCTCTTCCCACTGATTAGTTTTAGCTGTGTGGACTGAGGAATGGTCACTCCCAGACCTCTTCTTGCAGGGAGGGGAGGTGCCACCGAACTCAACATTCTCTCCTTTTGTTAAATATCTGCACAAAACATGGGTGAAGTCACTCATAAGTCTAGAGTCCAGGATTTTATCTGTTGACCTCAGGTCACTCAAGTAAGGATGTTAAGGTTCTATCCTAATGCTTGGAGACTGTGAGGCAGGATGGGAAGGAACTGCCCCCAACTTAATCCTACCAAATGTGATACTAGGGTACCTACAGTAGATCTGGGCATATTCCACCTTCAACCTTGAATCGGACAGCACTTCTGCATTTCTGAGTAGTGCATAATCTGGGGTCCTTCCTTACCTCACAGTTCCTGCTTGAGAAGCAGATGGCAGTTGTGGCTATAAAGGCCTTTGCACAACTTATCAAGAAACCCAATTGTGCCCTTTCTTGGTTTGAGAGTACCTTCCACTCATGCTCTCACCTCACAGTTTGACTATTATATGTTCTACATGGGCTGCCCTTGAGAAGCGGAAAACTCAGAAGCTTCAACTAGTTCAGAATGAAGCATGACTTGCTGTGCCCACATGACAGCCTTACTTTGTCAGCTGCATGGGTTGCTAGTGTACTTCTGGATATAATTCGATGCTGGTTATGACCTATAAAGCCCTGCATGGCATGGTTGAAAGATTGCCTACCTCCTGCAGATTTTGCCAGGCAGTACAAGCGATCAGAATTGGCGTCCTCCAAATTCCTTCAAATAAACAGTATCAACTTTTGGCATCTCTCTGTTATACAGAACAGGCACTCCTCAACAATCTGTGTTGCTCCTACCCTGTTGGCATTCTGGAAAGCCTTACAGTCCTAGTGTTGTCTCAAGCCTTCAGTTAGAGTGGCCAGGGACCCATTGGATACATTTGGGGGCACGGCCACTGTTAGCTAAATCTGTTTTTGTTCTTTATTCCTTTCTTTTATTCGTATTGTATTTTCTATTTTGTTTATAGTACACTGCCCAGAATATGTTTGGACTTGAGTGGTACTTAATTAATGCAGGATATTAAATTATTAAAATTTGATTTGTATTCAATGATATATATGCTGCATAAAAATCATAGACAGTGGTAATGGACCAATTCTGCTAAGTGTGATCGAAATCCTATCATCAAAAGAATACAAAATAGAAAAATAAAAACCAGGATATCCTAATGAATTGGGTTTTTTTATTTTAGGGGTTTTTTTAGTTGAAATTATGTCTAGTTCCACAGATATTCAGATCAATTTTTGCTTTCTTGGAGCAAAGAAAATTCCCTTGAAATGGTAAAAACAGCTTATTTTGTCAACATAGAGTCATAGACTGATGCCAATGGAATTTTAGCAAATGATAAAACCAAGAGGGCCTTAACCAGGATTCCAGCCAAGAAATATAGAGCTCCAACAGCACAAGAGGACTCATAGGTCCTCTTTGTAGTCACATATGCATGAATTGCCAACAGCATCTTCCACACAAACATGGGCACCTCACCAATCTTTAGGGCTCTTGCTGGAAGAATAATCTCTCCTATGTGTGCATAAAATACTTGAAGATGGATGGATCTGTAGTAGAGCTCCATTTGCTTCCACATCCTTCAAATTCCTTCTAGCAAAAAAGCTGGGAGTCTTGAATATGTGGTTGTTGTTTTCTTTTGTAAACAAAGGCTACAAAATTGAATTTTTATTTTGACACACAAGATGCACTTATAAAATCCATACATAATTATTTTACAAGGAAAAGGTCATTCCAAGCTTCCTTTCAGCTACATTTAAATAAAATCAAATTACAAGATTTAACAAATGTTCTGAATTGAATTTTAATGAATCAAATTTGCCAGAAGCAATATGTCTATGAAATTAATCATCTTGTAAACTTCAACGTCAAGCTTTATATTTCTCCCACAAGGTTCTCTTAAGTTGAGAAGCTGGTCAAGAAGGTTGGCAGCATGGGGAGAAAATTATTAGAAACATTTGACTATCCATACTGCCTTCTTTCTTGAAACCTGCTTGTCAGGATACCATTCCCATGTGTTCATCCTCTCAACTCTGGGGATATAATAAATGTATTCTAGAGTTCAAACATTAGCATTTTAAAACATTTGTTTTGGCCACTCTGCAAGAGCTAAATAAGTTGCCAAAGATTTGCTTATTATTCAACACACACAATTTTGCTTTTTATTAAAAAAGACACTTGATATTGCATTGTGTTCCTTAGGCATTGAGGATAGAAAAGAATGGAGCACCTTGAGTATAGATTTGCTCTTAAATATGTTGAGCTAAAAAGAACCATAATTCTTGTTTTAATCTTCTGTATGCTCCTCTATACGCATCAAGTGAAGCTGCTTTGTATTTCAAAACCAAGCATTTCATAAAGCTAGTTTTCAGGAAAATCTATTTCATTCTGTCATTTTGGCCACATGCAAATTTCCCAGCCAAAGCAAAAAAACCAAAAAAACCCTCAAACCCCACAAATTCTTCAGCTGTTTGATATACAATGCTGAGAAAATTATTGCACACTGAATAGGCTAGCAGCTAGAACTGAAGCATAATGATGTCTACCTTGATGTTTAAAATGCCAAAGAGCAAAGATAAGCTCCTGACCTCTTGTTCCTTCAAACATTCAACACTTTCCTTGTTATGATCAATTTCTGGTTTAAAAGCTTAAGATTTATGACAAAAACAAGTGGTAAAATTTTAAGGATGGTCCATTTTGGGTAGCTGAAATGCATTTTGAACCATCTCCTGGGGGTAAGTTTATCCTGATTATTTGTTTTCCTGTAAATCTGGGAAAAATGGCAAGGGAAATTTTTAATTGAGGGAGAGATCTGCTTATAAAAGCAAGGGGGGGGGACGTGCTTCTCAAGAACTTTTCAAAATTCTTTATGGTTGGGCAAAAAAAAGTATGTCAAGGAAGCAGATTCATACAGGAAAAGGGGTTTAAAGTAGCTCACACATTCTTTCCAGAAAAGCGACACTGTAACTCTGTCCAACTGTCGGTGGTTTCTTTAAAAAAAAAAATCATTTTTCGAAATACCAAGGTTACAAAGCTGAGGCTTGATCCATTTTTGATCCAAGCTTACACCCTGTAAATAGATTTGCTGTTAATAATTTAAGTTTTAAATAAATATTGGTATGCCTATTTGGCATCTGTCTGTCATTGGCAGCCATTTCTGCTCCTATTGCTCAGTCTTCCACTCAGAGACTGCTAGTCAATTCGATTTCCACAAATGGTAAACCTGTCTATCTCCAACAAATCTTTCTTTGTAGATCTGAATTTGGATTCTGCACTGTCTTGGCATATCTCTTTCTCATCTCCATCAGGAGTGGTCAGAAACTGGTCAGAGGCACTTGTCACAAGTTGGGGGGCTACATTTTCCTTTGGTTGCACAGGCTGACTGGTCACTGAAGCAGAGAAGCCTTCCTCAGTGGAAAGTCCTGTGTGAAATACAAGCATAAACTCATTTTGTTGTCTTTATTTAGATCACTGTAATCACCCACTTAAAGACTCTAGTGCAGTGTCTATCAATAAAATATATTTCAAAGGGGAGGAACAAGGGGGTCCAAAGAACAACAAAAACCCTTATGCTATTTTCAAGATTAACAAATGGATTGCAGACTTCTTCATCAGATACAAAGGTGCCATCACACTTTTCACTGGGTTTGCTGCAACAATATAATGTAGCACTTTGTTTGGGGGAAGACACAAGACAACTCAAACTACTTTGTTTGGATTTTCATACATTTTCTTTGGTTTGTTAATGATAGTTTTCCATACTAAGTCTGATGTTTTGGGTTCTTTGATGACATATGATACCATTTTCATATAGGACCTTTCAATCAATAAATAAGAAAGCTTGAAGAAGTATAGGCACTCACAGCGTGAAATCTTGAATGTGGTTTGAGTATCCTTAGTAGGTAGAACAACTCATTACACAAAAATGCAAGATGAAGTTTTGCCTCCATTATCATAACAATAGGACAGCATAAAACACATCTTCATTCAACAAAGGACCTACATAATTATAGCATGTAATTATGACCACTTAACTTGGAAAAGCTTTAAAGATCATATTAAAGAATTACATCTTCTTGAAGCTGGTGCTCTTTAATCAAATAGGAAGCTTCCTAATCAGAGATGGAATAAATGGAAGGAAAGGGCTGTTTTTTACCCAAACTAGATGGGGTACCACTTTTTACTCTAATCTTGGGACAAATGAGATTATTTAAATGACATTGTTCTTGCAGCTTGCTTTTTTTGTTTGTTTCCTAGATCCATTATTTATCTATTTAGTTATGTAAGCTATTCCTGCAGAGAAAATTGAAAGAGCAAATTAGCAAATTAAATAGCAGGTACAATTGCCATTGGTTAGAGCCAATGAAGAGAGGAAGGGGAAAGAAACAACACGCAAGTATTTATGTTTGGGACAGAAAATCATGTTGGGACTCAGAAAATGATTGTTGCTTCTTTGACAGGTAAGCTCTACACTCATGTTAAAAATGTGCCACAGGAAAGTTAGAATTTTGAATTGCATCCTGAATATTATGCCTGGAAATTTTAGAATGCTTTTTGTTTCATTAAGCTTTGAAAATGCAAAAGTGTGCCTTATGAAGAAGAAAACTTAATGCAACTGCCAGAGAAGGGCATTTTAATACCGGCCGCTATGATGTTCATGGATGGTTTTGAAGAGAATGCATTGCTGTGGCTGGTTTCTTTAAGTGGGCTCAGTTTTAGGACTGCTTGTATAAAGCAAAATGAAAAAAGGCACAGAGTGTGCTTTTATTGTTTTACTATGGGATTTTAATGGGTTTTTAATCTTGTTCTTATAAATTGTTCCCTTGGCCAATTTTTCTGTAACAGGGCCATGTAAACTATCACCCTACTTTCTTGCATGCCTGTGTGAAAAGCAAGCAAGGAAGATATGTGTTATCACTATTCTCTGTGGTGGTACACCTGATATGTTTTGAAATATGTGTCTCACCAAAATGCAAGGCAGTTGAAATACTCCATGTGGAGTCCCTGTACTCAGAGTTTGGATCAAACTTCTATTCTCCTTTGTACCAATCTATACTTCCTACAGTAGAAGCACAAAATTAGCCACCGTTTGTACTCAATGAGCCTTCATAAAAGATAGTCTGACTATCAAGATTGCTCTTTTTACTTCTATGTAGAAGGATAAGTTTCTCAGAGAGCAAAATGTTGCCATCAATTATTGCATCAATTCTGGAAGAACAGACTTTATTTTGGTTTTCTAGTGGTGGCAAAATGTCAAAATGATATTAAACCAAACAGAGCCAAATTATTAGATTTTTGAGGAAGGATCCAATGGTAGCATTTGAGGCCCATTATCAAGTTTTGCTGAATTGTTACAACTACCAGACAACAGGAAAAATTGGTATTTGGGGAGGGACTCAGAAGAGATGCAAGCTTTAGAGTACCCCATTTGTCCTTGAAATCATACCATGTCCCCGCAATGTATGAGTGCGCACGCATAGGCCATAAACATCGGCTCTACCATTGGAGGGTGGTCTGAAGACTCTGAAGCAATAAAAGGTCTGCTGGGGATTCATACGTACTTCAAATCCTGCAAAATTCTTCTGAAGGAGAAAATGTCCAAAGCTGGTTTTATTCAGAATTATGAAGATTTAGCTCCTTAGATGCTACAAATCACTTTATACTAAGTCAATAAAATGCCTATGCTTAATACTGGAGCCAACATTTTGAGATTTCACTAACCTTGAGGAGACTTGTACTTGTTCTGTGGTTTGCCAACAGATTTTCCTGGGGTGCTGAAAGGAGGTGGGTTGAACAACTTCTCCTCCATGTTTGCTTCTTTGACATAGTGGCAGGACTTTCCCAGCAATACAATGCTGTTGAGTACCTTAAGTGATATTAAACTGAGAACAATAAGCACACAGGATTAGCTATCATGGCCTGAACAATTTCGCCTCCTCCAGAGGCCTCCTCAAATTGTCTATTAGAACAACAGATACACACTGTTTTAATCTGATCAACCCTGCTGTGCATCAACTAGAAATATAGGGCAAAGATATTAGATTTGTGCCAGAGAGCCTGGATTCAATTTGGTAAAGAACTTGATGCGCCTCCAAGAAGGGCCTTCAGATAAATTTCCCTGCCTTGACCAGGCTGTGTGGACACCTGGTCCTATTTTTTGCAAAAAGCTGGCTGAGGCAGATGAAGAACAGCCACCCAGCTGTGCTATTCTTAAGGACGAGGGGGCAGATGCTACTAGGTCCAACTTCAAGGAGGCCTCCCGAATAATTATTCTGCAGCATATTACCATTGTACTCTAACGTCAACACCCTGCAATATTGAGTGTGTCAGGGGCAACAGTGCAGGCAAACACACACTCTCACACCTTTTCCTGTATTTCCACACCCAAGAATAGAGAGGTTTGTGCCTCCCATGTACAAGCCAGCTGGATAAGAGTGTACTAATCTGATAAAATATTTTATGAATTTCCATTATTATTTAGCATGAAATTTCCTACTGAAATAGGAAATCTTAACTAAATCATGAATTAATCATTGATACCAAGTTATGATACCAAGTGCACTTAGTGGAAAATTAATTCCATTAAAAGTAGCAGGATTTGCTTCCAAAATAAGGATTATGGTGGGTAATAATTCTGTGAAATGCATTTTTACTCTCTTCAAAAATTTAACCTTTTAGCAAAAGTTGCCTCTAGATGAGATGGGCGGCATATAAATCAAATCAAATCAATCAAATAGCTAGCTAGATGATAGATAGGAAACATGTTTTAATGTGAGAGTTAACTTTTGGAAAGAGAAAATGAACATATTAGGTATAAAGACTTATTGTCCAAACCTGGAAACAAACGTGTGGCTTCAAATATTGAACTGTTTGCAGAATTGATTAATATAGATCATGGATGACTGTAACATATCATGGAATCAGTTTATTAATATGTGTATTTCTACAAATATATATATCTTGAAGTATATATCATGTATGCTTTTATTTCCTTTTGTTTCTTCTAATTTTGTGTATTCTTTTCCATCACATATTGTATTTAGTTAATTAAAAATATTTTCTAAAAAACTAAATGGGACAAAAGGATATTTAACCTGTGGGGTTAAGCAATAACTGGCATGATTAAGTAATCTCCTAGTTCTAAACATTTTATTTATATAGTAAAAGCTTAAATCTTTGTACTTAATATTCCATTACCAACTCTGTTGTGTTGATATATTCTTAATAGCAAAATGGAACTTCATTGTAAGAACTTTCACATGTTGATTTTTGGTATTCCGATTTTTCTACAGAAAAGCTTTACACAATTATTTGATTTGCACTTACCCACAACAGAAAAGAATTACACAGGAATAGGACAAGACCCCTTGGACTTTTACTGAACTTGTAACAACTCTAATGAGCTAGAAAGAAAAATAACAGGGATTAAAATTATTTCTGAAAAGGGATGAGTGTGTAATTCAAATTATTTAAGTTACTTTAAATATGATGTAATATTTAAGATATCCTATCTTAAATTATTTTAACAGATAGAAGCTGCATACAAGTTTATTTCAATAACATACATAACACACATTCCAACCCAGTGCAGAGGGCCATCTCAGTTTAACTTAATCTTGTTCATCAAGTCTACAAATCATGAGTCAATATTATTTTATTTTTATTAACTAATATGCTCAGGAAAATTATTTCATCCTCTGGGGTAATTTTCACTAGCTACTATGTGAAAAAAGATATGACTTACTAAAACAGCCAGTGGGAGTGGAATAAAGCCCATTCTCCTGGAAACAGAGTCACTGTAATCTGTATATGCCTGGAGGTAGAGAGCAGACTATCAAAAAAGCAATAGAACAGGCAAAACATTGAAGTACTAAGAAGTCTCAGAATAACTATGTTTACATATTGCAAATAGATTTACTTTAAAATCACACTCACAAAGGGAATTAAAAGTCAGTTCACAACTGATCAGGAGACTGCCAGATATTAGTGGTTCAGGAGCAGAACTTGGCTGAAAAAAACAAGGAAATCTGATGGGGTTAGTACTTTGATGGGTACTTTAATGGGAGAGCATCAGGAAGCAATAAACCTGCAGGCCACTCTGAGGGTCTAGGATCCTTCCAACTCCCAACCTTGTCCACGCCTCCTTTTCCTTAAGCCTCCCACCTCTGCCCATTTGCTTCCAGCGTTCCTCCTTGACTGGCCAATGGGCCCCTTGCCCTCTACCTCGTGCCCTTCGGCCCGGAAGAGCCTGGCATGGAGCAGGAAGGAGACAAACAGCACTGGCACGGCTTCTCCGATTGCGGGGGGGGGGGAAGCCTAGTGTGGGGCAGGAAGGAGGGGGGAAGCCTGGTGTGGGGCAGCAGGCCAACTCCCTGTTTGGTGTGAGGCCAGAGTCCAGGAGCAGAGGCAATGGAGGGGAGGGTGAAGAAAAAAAGGAAGCCGGTGCTCTCCAGGCTTTTTTTTTAAAAAAACTGCTAGAGGCTCCGGGCAGAGAGGGCAACAAGCAAAAAAGTTTGGAGAGGGTGGAGAAGCCAGCCCCAACGGGTGTTGGGGCCAGTTGCATTCCAGACAAAGAATGGAAATTGTGTGTGTGTGGGAGGGGGACATGTGTGTGCCTAAGTGTGTTAAACCAATGCAGTGTTTACATAGCATTACCTACGTGTGTGTCTGACTAAAGTAGAGAGATTCTCCCCCCCCGTCATCAGAGAAGCAGCACCAGTGCTGTTTGCCTCCTTCCTGCCTCACACCAGGCTTCTCCGCTTCCCCCGCAATCAGAGAAGTCGCGCCGGCCCTACCGTTCACCTGCTGCCCCACAACACAACCCCTGCAATCACCCATCACACGCTGCCCCACTGAGAGCAACATGGCTGCTGCCTGCCACCCATCCGATTGGCTGGCGGCTAACTGTCCCATGTGGCCAAAGGTGCAGGACAAAGGGGATCTCAGGGAATGGGCCAGGCCGAAGGGTACGAGGCGGAGGGCAAGGGGCCCATTGGCCAGGGAGAATGGGGACGGGCCAACAGAGGAGGAACACTGGAGGTAAATGGGCGGAGGCGGGAGGCTCGAGGAGGCATGGCCAAGGATGGGAGCCTAAAGGTCCCATTCCGTATCCTGAGCAGTTGAAGTAAATACTGGAAGAAGTAAATGACAATCTATTTCCATAACTGTTGCCACAAAAGTGACAAAAATATGTCTATTTTTTCATTAGGAGAGTTTTCTGACAGTTCTAATTATCTTAATGGAAGGCCCTGGGACCATACAAATTAACAGGTATAGAATAGAATGGTTTTAAAACTAGATTTAATTTTTCCCCAAATATTTTATTCATAGTTCATTATGACATAAATAGTGCAAGTGAAAGGCATTTCCTAGGAATACTGGGAATTAATTTATGCCCTTGTAGCCACAGGGATGTCTTTGGAAGTTCAACTTCACACAGAAATCCAAGTTGCATATGGTGAGCTCTCCAATTGCAATGCTTCTCCAGTTTCTTCCTAGTGTAAAATTAAATTGCAAGCAAATCTAACTAAACAGGATGTATAAGCTCGGATGTATAAACTTCAATCCAACACTTACATTTTTCTGCCGACTGCTAACAAAGTCAAAGGCAAGGCTTGCTTTGTATTCACTGTAAACCTGGGGGCAGGATAACATATGCAAATGTTTGATTAACCATTTGACAGAGTAGTAACAGGCACTTATTATTAGAGAGAAAAGATAGATAAATGTGCATATGAAAACCTTTCGGTCTGTTTGCTTTTGAATATTCATATAGCCAGGGACAGCATGTGCAGAAATCAAAATACTAAGTCAGATGGAAATAAAACCATTTGGTTGCTTCAGTTGGACTAGGGATAATAAGTGAGGTATATGTTTGTATCCTTAAAAGGAGGGGAATGGGACAACTTGCCACAGCCAACTCGCTGCAGCCAACTAGCCATGGAAAGGTCACCATGGCCAACTCGCGGTGAGACAACTTGCCATATCCAACTCACTGGGGGACAATTGAACAATTCTATTTAATTATTAAAATTATTTTAATTTTTACCATTTACATTTCACTCTATTCTTCATTTTGCATCCTTTCTTTAATAATTCTTTTCCATAATTTATTTGATATTAGTGTAACTTTTGTGCCACAATGTGTTGTCCTATGGCAAGTTGTCCTGTGGCAAGTTGGTGATGGCGAGTTGGCTGTGGCAAATTGTCACAGACCCAAAAGGAGGATAGAAGATGAGGAAGTGTCTAGATCATCCACTCCAAGGAACCAAGAGATGTGTAAGAACCAAGTTTGTGGGCTCCAGGCAGGGGTCAAAACCCCTTTTTGGGTTTGACATGCCCCTAATAACACTCAGAAGGATATTGTTAATGTGGATTTTCTTATCTTGTCTTTTTACACAGAGGACAATTGAGCTGGGTGATTTGATGAAAAGAGAGGAATAACCATTCTGTCCCCCTTTCAATGAACAGCTAAGAGAGGCTTTTTCCTCCAGCCTACCAGGTACAGACAGACTCTAACATTTAGAGGCTTCGAAGTCATTATTGAAATTAAAGTATAGAAATTGTATCAAAAGATTATATCAAAATAGGAAAAATGGGATTAAAATCTAGGAAGGACTATAGTGCAAGTTTTTAAATAAGACTCTAATGAGATTCTGTTTTAAAGTTACTAAACCCAATTCAGATTCACTATCAAAAGTCCTGGGGATCTGGAATAGTATGGCTTTCAAAACTTTCGGGGGGAGGGGAAATTAAGCCATCCACATTTTAAAAAGATGCTACATAATTATGTGAATTATTATGTACTGTAAATGTATTAAATGCTTTTAGGGAATTTGCTAATTTCCTTTATTATATCACTGAAAGCAGCAACAACTCATCCTGAATGTGACCCTGCATTCCCCAGGGCATACAAACACGATGAAAAAGAAAATCACTTTCTTTCTTGTTTATTTGAAAGCTGTTGCAATTCAAATATAGTTTTAAAAATGAAAGTAAGTTGGATAATATTTGTGTTAACAGAACCTCATCTTGTAGTTTAAAGACAGAGGAGCCATACCCCGCTACTCTGAAAGTACAGTGGTAATTCATTGCTGGTACACTTAATTTAGGAACATTTTAAATATATCCCAGTAGGAAAATGATAATAATACAAAGGCTCTTATAAGAAACTTTATGGTCAGATTGTCAGGTCTGCTATCTTCAGCTTCAGCTGGCATCCTGCCATAAATAGAAAAAGGGGAGGGGAAGGAATTTGGGGAAGCTAAGCTGGGCTGTGAAGGGGAAAACAAATGGGGAAGGAGACAAGCTGATAAGAACCAGTGGTATTAAACCAGAATAAGCCAGCCACCAAGGACACCTGGCCTGGGAACGGAATGCAAAACTACATTGAGAGGCACCAAGCAGTTCCCAAAACATCAAAATGGAATACTATTGGACACTGTTGAACTAGTCAGGGAAAGAGGGGAAATGTAACCTTTGCACGGGAATACTCAGATCTAGCTTTACTTTTGCTGCAACTTCTTGACATTAGTAAAAGAACCTATCACTTCAACCAAATGGAGTCAAGAGTCTTTCTTTCTTAAATGACTAAGTTGGGGCAGGTCTGACATTAAGCTAGATCTGCAATTTCGGTCAACCTGGAGACATGCCTCTACTGTGGGGACCATGCATGAGATCACCACAAAAGAGCTATCAGGAGGAGATGGAAGTTTTGTGGGAGACTGCGCCATAGCCACTAAGCGGAGGAGACTGTTCTGACCCAGCGTTCGCAAGTAATAAAAACACCTTTTATTGAAACAGGGCAGAAACAATCTTTGTTCACGTTGGGTAGATGAAACAAAAAAGAAATAGTCACAAAGGAAAGTCTTTTCCCCTTCTGACACAGGGCAAGAACAGTCTCTATTCACTTGAGACCTCCAGATAGAAAGTCTTTCAAGGATTAAGTCAAGCAGAAACAGTCCCTGTTCACACTGGCTGAGGCAAATTCACTACCTATTAGTTCCCAGCAGGGAGACTCAGTTGGCACCTCAAATACAGAGCAAGTAGTCCTGACAAACCTGGTTCTGATAAAGGAATCCGACTTGATTAATGTACCCTGGAAAATGAATGGTTGTCTGCGACAACAGACCACTTCCAAACCCCTACTATTTATTTCCCAGCCAGAGAGGGGCTGGCTAGCGTCTACTTTTCCCTGAGAGCTGGCTTATTGCCTTCTATTGCTTTTCTTTCTACGCATACGTGCATCTAGGACGGGCCCCATCTATTCCTCCCCCTCACTCATCTCAGGCCCCGAAGACAGCTGCCTATCCACCTGGGCACAGACAGACGGCCCTGGCTCTGCATCTGCCTCTGATTCTGCTTCCTCATCAGAGCCTTCCAAAGGCTTAGAAGTTGACCCAGGCTCCCCCTCCCCCTCGTCTGACTCTGCTGCTAGCTCTGCTGGCAGCCGATGGACCAAAACAGAGACTATCACCAGTGGCTAGGGGGGGCAGAGGGCTGCAACAACCAGGTGAAAGCCCGATGGTCACTGGGGGTCAGAAAGAAGGATGATTAGGAGGAACCTTCACTCAGGGTAGGGACGAATCAGACCACAATGGTGTGCTTGTCGAACAGGCCATTGAATTCCTGAAGGGTGCCTTTGACAACTTCTCAGGTGTGTGAAGCTCTAGCTCAAATGGCACCATCAACTGCTCAACCGGTGCAGGGCCAGGCAGACGATGGTGCAGCTGCACCCACCACACTAACCGCTGCAGCACCCGCTCCCCTGGAACCAGCTCCAGCCCCATGTCCAATGTCCTAGCCACTGCCATCTGCCTGGGCCGCCCACCAAGGAGGAGAGAGCACAGATCACCGGCTTGAGGGTGAGATTCAGCTGAGACCCAAAGCAGTTGGCATTCTTCCTAATCCAAGTGTGGACCTACATGCAGGCCTATGGGGCCAACCTACCGACCGAAGAGATCAAGGTGAGAAGTGTGATCCTAGCACTGGAGGGGAGTGCCACGGAATGGATGGTTGTCCTGCACAACAATGATGCTCCAGAGCTGTGCAACCTCAATTAGTTCATAACAACCCTCCAGAAGAGATTTGAAGATCCCCTCACAGACTGGAAGGTCAGGACAAGAATCAAAATGATAAACCAAGATTGGCGACCCATGGCTGCCTATACCCAAGAATTCCGTAGCCTGGCATGCAGACTAACCCACTGGCCACAAGACATGCTGATAAAGTGTTTCCAAGATGGGCTGAATGACAACTTCTATAACACCTACATCTCCAGGGACACTCCACGCACCTTCTTAGCTTAAGAAGTTGAAGTTGACCTAGCCTGATCCTGCAATTGCCCCAACTGTGGGTAGCGATGATCCCTCCCAATAGAGAAGAGAGAGACCCCGAAGCCAGGTGGACTGGAGCCAAGCCCACACTGCCGCTCCATCGGATGCTTCAAATGCAGAAAAGAGGGGCTCTCAAAGAAAATGGGAAAAGCAACCCTGAGAACCCTAGAAGGACTGGAGGTTGATGAGTTCACCCCATTACCTGCCAGTGGTGTGAGAACTCTGACAATATTATATATAAATTAGGAGCCTGGCAGGATGTGACAATTACATGGATGATGACCCCTTGGTAAATCACCTTGTGATACCCGTGACTTTCTCTACTGAACTGATAGTGCTGTCAGAACCCCTATGCATTTTGCCTTTCTTTCCTATCCTTTCATTTCATTTTTTGGGTTCTGCCATTCTAATGGAGGGAGGGGGACCTATGGGTACTCTGCAGTGTATTTCCTTTGCTTTGTTCTATTCTCTTTGAAGTATCTTTCTTGGGGTGAGACTGGAATGAGCCTCCGGCCATTTGCCTTATTTCCAGGTGGAGGGAAGAAGCCGCAGAGAAACCTGACAGCCTTGAGAACGGCGCCTTATCGATTCTTTCTCACAATTTGACACCTATGGATTGGCTCTGTTTGAACCAGCCAGATGGGGTAAGGTTTGAAAGGTTTTTTTTAATCTAACATTTTGTGCGGGAAATCCTCAGATCCTGCCTTACTATCCTGCTGTCAATACTTTCCAATAAAAGTTCCTGTTGAGACAATGCAAGTTTCAAGAGTTCTGCTTTCTTGGGAGGCTTAATTGAGGCAGGTCCTCACAGGTGCCTTCTTGGGGCATAGGGAGAACCTGGTTGCCTTCCTGGACTCGGGCTGCACCAGATGCCTGGTCAGCTCTGGCTTAGTCAAGAAAGCGGATCTGTAACTCAGGGAACTTAAAGTACTTGTGACTTTCTGCCAGCTGGAGGCCAGTAGCGGGGGGACGGGGGATGACATTTGTCACTGAACTGATAGAGATGAGAATGGGACCTCATAAGAAATCCTAAGCTTTATTGTGGCATTAGGCATGGAGAGACTCCTCATATTGGGATTGGCATGGCTCCTGAAATGGAACCCATACATAAACTGGAGGTTTCAATCCTGCCTAGAACGGTAATTTAAAAGATTAGAGAAAATTCCTGTATCTATAATTCAGTTTTGACCTATCTATAGTGTAATAATGTACTCAATGTATCTCTTTTCTGGTGTTGTGCTAGGTTTATTCTTGCTGCAATAAATGTGTATTGTAATATTTACTTTTTCCTTGTTTTTTTTT